AAAAAAAAAATGTCCATACTACCCAAAGCACTATACAAATTGAATGCAATTCCTGTTAAAGCACCACTGTCACACTTTAAATATCTGGGAAAAAATAGTACTTTGTTTTATATGGAATTAGAAAAAACCTCAAATAGCCAAGACTTACTCAGAAATAAAAACAAATCAGGAGGATCACACTACCAGACTTCAGACTATACTTTAAATCTGTAGTGATCAAAATAGCATGGTACTGGCACAAAAATAGAGAGGTAGATGTATGGAAAAGAATTGAGAACCAAGAGATGAACCCAGACACTTATCATCATTTGGTCATTGATAAGCCTATCAAAAACATAAACTGGGGAAAAAAATCCCTATTTAACAAATGGTGCTGGCTGAATTGGCTGGTGAATTGTAGAAGACTTAAACTGGACCTATACCTTTCACCATTAACAAAAATTGACTCTTGGCTCAGTGCTCATAGGTCAGTGAGTAGGGTGCCAGCCACATACACTGAGGCTGCTAGGTTCAAGCCTGGCCTAGGCCTGCTAAACAAAAATGACAACTGCAACCAAAAAATAACCAGTTGTTGTGGTGGGTGCCTGTAATCCCAGCTACTCAGGAGGCTGAGGCAACAGAATCACTTAAATCCAAGAGTTTGAGGTTGCTGTGAGCTGTGATGCCATGGCACTCTACCCAGGGTGACATAGTGAGACTCTGTCTCAAAAAAAAAAAAAATTGACTCTCACTGGATAAAAGATTTAAACTTAAGACATGACGCTATAAAGATTCATGGAGAGAGTGCAGGGGAACCACTTGAAGAAATTGGCTTGGGAAAATACTTTATGAGGAGGACACCCAGGCACTTGAAGCAACACCAAAAATACATTACTGGGACCTGATCAAACTAAAAAACTTCTGCACAGCCAAGAACACAGTAAGTAAAGCAAACAGACATCCCTCAAAATGAGAGAAGATATTTATGTTTCTGACAAAGGTTTGGTAACCAGAATCTGTAGAGAACTCAAAATTATTAATAAGAAAAGAACAAGTGATCCCATTTCATTGTGGGTAAGAGACTTGAACAGACGCTTTTTTAAGGAAGACAGGAACATGGCCTACAGACACATGAAAAAAAATGCTCATCACCTTTAATCATCAGAGAAATGCAAATCAAAATCACTTAGAAATATCATCTAACTCCAGTAAGACTAGCTCACATAACAAAATCTCAAAACTACAGATGTTGGCGTGGATGTGGAGAGAAGGGAACATTTCTGCTCTGCTAGTGGGAATGCAAACTAATACATCCTTTCTGGAAAAAAGTTTGGAGAACACTTAGGGAACTAAAAGTAGACCTGCCATTTGATCCTGCAATTCCTCTACTAGGTATATATCCAGATGACCAAAAATTACTTTACAATGAAGACAGTTGCACAAGATTGTTTATTTCAGGCCAATTCATAATTGCCAAGTCATGGAAGCAGCCCAAGTACCCATCGACCCATGACTGGATTTGTATGCCTTGGAATATTATGCAGCCATAAAAAATATGGAGACTTTACTTCTTTTATGGGTACATGGATGGAGCTGGATCATATTCTTCTAAGTAAAGTATCTCAAGTAAGGAAGAAAAATCCAATGTACTCAATACTATTATGAAACCAATATATAATCACTCATGCTTTCATACAAATGATGAAACACAATTATAGCCCAGAAAGAAGGAGAGAAGAAGTAAGTGAGGGGAGGGGAGGGGGTTAGTCGGGTAGAGGGAGGGTAATCGGTGGGACCTCACCTATTGTGCATATTGCAAGGGTATATATCAAATATATTAAGAGTAGAGTATAAATGTCTAAACACAACAATTAAATGAGGTGAAAGCTATGTTAACCACTTTGATGTAAACATTCCAAATTGTATATAAAATCAGCACATTGTACCCCATAAATGCAGTAATGTACACAGTTATGATCTAAAAAAAAGTATTTGCATATGTTTATTTTCCCCACACAACTGCCATGGCCTCTTGATGGTAGTGAGGATTTTACTGGATTCCCACAAACAGAATACATAGGTTTCTGACTTCTGAAAACCATCTTCACCCAGTAGCATTGTTTCTGTGGGATATTTTTGTCTAGACCTCCCAACAAGTATCTGTGCAGGAAGACCCTTGAAACCCAGCCTGCTCGGACAGTAGACTGCCGGGGTATATAAATGAGCAGCTGCTCGTGAAAAGGCTTTGCAGACTGAGAAGTCCTGTGCAAAGTCCGTTAGGAGTGCTTCATGGGGATGTGTGGATTCAGAGGAGTAGGGCAAGAGTGGGGCTGAATGACTGACCTCAGTGGGAACCCCAACTGTTGTCAGACAACCCAAGGGTGAAGGTGCCAGGCTTGTCCAACAGGATGTAAAAGTTGTGGGACAGCAGAGCTTGCACCCTTCCCTTTCCACACTCAGTGGGGCCCTGCAAAAAGAACTAGGATATTTTCTTCTGCAGTGTGAGTGGCAACACAGTCTGTTGTTTAGCAGCTTCTCCCGTGAAGAAACTATAACCCAACTATGAAACCAACTCGGCAGCATGACATCCTGTATTGTACCTAAGCATTTACTCTGATTCTCTTCCTCTTGGTTACAATAGCAATGACAGTATGACAGTATCTAAACAAACCTTTGTGAGCATTACACTTTTTTATGCAGGCAAATAGGTGTTTAATCTAATGAAGTTTTAACGCATTTCTCTAACGTGAACAATGAGAATAGAATTAGTGTTTCAAAATTCTAAGCTTAAAAATGTACTTAATGACTTCTACAATTTTGTATATTGTCTTAGTCTGATATATCCTGGGACTCTGAATTTTCTCGTAATAGTATTTAAATCCTGTGGAGACATTGTTGAAAACTGTAAGGTGCTGATCTAAAGAACAAAGGGAGTAACCCAAATTGATAAGTAGCGCAAATGAAATCTAGTAGAGAGTTTCATGGGCTTGATTTCCTCGTCTTCTACATAAAATAGAAGATTTTAAGAGTCTAATCTGAAATTCCTCGTGAAGACTTCCAGACAGAACATTCAGCTTGTGGCCTTAGCTGTTCAGTACAATGCAGGTCTCATGTTACAGAGCAGACTTCATGGGGCACAAAGAGCAAGTGAAAATTCTTCCTGCACCCATACAGATAATCAGGCCAAACCTAATGAGACTAGTCTTACTTGGAAATAAAAATAATCTTCCTTTGAGATTATTATCACAACTCAATAGGGGATGTGAAGACCACCAGGCAAAAGTACGAAAGACTTGGAAGTTGGGTGATATCTTGTTTAGAGCACCCTTCCAGGTTTATCTCTGATTTCTGCCTTTTGCTGTCTTTGAGCTATTTTATAATTCTGGAAATCATAGAAAACTGATATTAAGGCAGACACAGTAGTCCTCCCATATCTGCAGCTTCACTTTCTGGGGTTTCAGTTACAGTCAAGTACACTCCAAAAATAGGTGAGTACACACAGCAGTAAGATATTTTGAAAGAAACCACATTCACATAACTTTTCTTACAGAATATCATTATGATTTTGCTATTCTGTTAATATTGTTGTTAATCTCTTATGGTGCCTAATTTATAAATTAAGCTTTATGTATGCATAGGAAAAACTATAGCCTATATAGGGTGCAATACTGTCTGCAGTTTCAGGTATTCACTGGTGGTCTTAAAATGTATTCCCTGTGAATAAGGGAGCACTACTATAATTTTTGTCCATAAAAATGCCAATTATTTGTGTCCACTGGAATGCAATTGATTATGGGCCCATTTTGGCATGTGTTTAAAAAACACAAGGCACAAGACAGTGCTATGATATGCAACTATTTCTGTAAAACAAAAGGGGAATAATATGTATCCATTCTGTGTTTTTACATAATAAAACCTCTTGCAGTATATACAGGGTGGCCGTAAAGTCTATGTGCAATTTAAAATAGTTATCTATGTTAAATTGCACATGAACTTTATGGCCACCCTGTGTATTCATATTTGATTACATATGCATAAAATCAAAAAATGAATAGTAGTGGCTCCATATTCAGAGCGGAGGAACTCAACGGGGGAGGGAGACCTGATGAGATGGAGACTTTTTGTTTCATGTCTTCTTTAGGTTTTTACTTTAATCATGTAAACATTTTAAACATTAATTAAGTATTTAAGCTTAAATCAAGGCTCTTTTCTTGTCATGTGATAAGTGTTTACTTAGGTCTGAGTTCTCCCTCTCACTGCTCTCTTGTAGAACTCAATAGTAAGTAGTTCTGCTCCCAGAGTGGGACAGAGGGAACTGAGGCAGAAGACTGTGACTCCCAATGATGAATTAATAACACAGAGTTAGAAAAAACAAAATGAAATAAAAATAAAACAAGCAGAATATGAGACTGGCAATCAAGAATGATCAATATACTGTTTTAATAGAATATTAAGAAATTCTTTAGTTTTGTGCATAAAGTGAAATATGGAAGGTTGAAAGGAAACCAATAAAGATTAATTGGAGGCTTGAGAAACCAATGCTGAAGGAAGTGGATCATTTGAATTGAAAAAAAGAACAGACCATTTATCTGGGTATATAGACTGAACACCACAGAAATGTTTATAGATAACTGTTCTACGTTTTCACAGAGATTGCATTAGGAACTGAACATAAAGTAGGGCAGATGAGTTTGGACTAGTTTTTATTATTAAGAACCATCATGTTTAGGCCAATGCAGTGGCTCACTCCTATAATCCTAGAATACTGGGAGGCCAAGGTAGGAGGATCATTTGAGGTCAGGAGTTCTAGACTAGCCTGAGCAAGAGCGAGACCCATCTGTACAAAAAACTAATAACAAAAAAAAGTAAAACAAATTAGCTGGGCTTGGTGGCACACACCTGCAGTCCCAGCTACTCAGGAGACTGAGCCGGGAGATTTGCTTGAATCCAGGAGTTTCAGGTTGTGGTGACCTAAGATGATGCCAGTGCACTCTAGCACGGGTGACAGAGTGAGAATCTGTTGCAAAAACAAAAGGAGCGCGCGGTGCGGGGCAGGTCACGCAGGAGGATTTCCCCGCAGCGGAGCGCGTGTGCCGCTACAGCTGCAGGATCGAAGTTGCTGGTCTTGGGTTTTGTGGGTGATGGCTCTGACCCAGGGGCAGGAGGGGGCGAGGGCTGCTGTTTCTGCAGTTGCTGCTGAAGCTTCGTCAGCTCCGGGTCATGAGAAGAGATAGAACCTTGAAGCAAAGAAATCTGGATCTCAGAAAAAGCCTTTAAGGACGATGCAAAGCAATCGTGGACAGCTGCACAGCCCTCCAGGAACCAGAGGGAGTGAGGATGCCTCAGCCTCCCAGTGTATTCATACAAGATTGATAGAAGGTTCTTGTCTTCATTCTGGAGATGTTCACATCCAGATAAATACTACACCTAAAGAATGTTCTGAAAATCCAGGCTCCAGAAATGTAAGGTGTACACAGCTATACCCATGGATGTGTACATAGTCATTTATGGAGTCACTCCCCTAGTGAAGGAAGGCAGCCGGATGATACTGCCGTGGAGTCTGGAGAACATGGTAGTAGCTCCTCAAAATTCCGCTGTCTCTTCCAGTGGTTGCAAAAAAGTCTTCCATATATTTTGATTCTGGGTGTCAAAGTTGTTATGCAGCATATAACAGGAATTTCTCTTAGAATCGGGCTGCTAACAACTTTTATGTATACAAACAAAAGCATTGTAAATCAGGTTTTTCTAAGACAAAAGTCCTCAAAGATTCAGTGTGCCTGGTTACTCGTATTCGTATCAGGATCTTCTATTCTTCTGTATACCTTCTGTGTACCTTTTGTTCTCAGTCACTTTATTACAGCTTAATTTTTTAAGTCCTACTTTGGACTATTTGAGCTTCTGGGAAGTACTTTGGATTTCTGGAGTTACAGACTTCATTCTGAAATTCCTTTTCATGGGCTTAACATGCCTTATTTTATTGGTGCCTTCTTTCATCATCCTTTTAAATCCAAGGCTTACTGGTATATGCTTTTAGAAAAATTATGTCAGTATTACTCAGCTTTTGTTCCTACACCAGTTTTGTTTCCTTACCTCATAAGCTATGGGGAGTTTGATAATGTAACTAGACGGAGTCTTGGGATATTGCTGGCTTTACTCCACCTCATACTTAAACTTTTGGACTTTTTTGGACATCTGAGAACTTTCAGATAGGTTTTATGAGTATTTTTTACACACTCAAGTTATGGAGTAAATTTGTTCAATATGTCAAGCTGAATTTCAGAAGCCATTTCTCCTCATCTGTCAGCATATATTTTGTGAAGAGCGCATTACCTTATGGTCTGACAGAGAGAAAACATGTCCATTGTGCAGAACTGTAATTTCAGACCATATAAACAAATGGAAAAATGGAGCCACTTCATCCCATCTTCAGATATGTTAAGCTGTATAAACTATTAAGGCCACAAAACACTAAGATGAGTTGGTTACAGGTACTGTTGATAAAAGCATTAGTATGGATTTTCAGGGCTAGAAGAAAAATGTTTCCAAATAGTTCTGGAATATAGTAAGACTTAGGTGTGTAGTCCATTTCATCAAAAGATTAAATGAAAAAACTATTTTAAAACATATGTAATGTTCAACATAATGTATATGCAACATTTATTCATTATTCAACAGGTAATTGTAGTATTAAATTGTGTTTCTTGTTGATGTTACTGAAACAGCAGTTTGAAACTAGAACTAGTGGTTTTAGAGAACTCAGGTATTCTTTCCTGACATTGTTTTCAGAATAAAGAATATTTTTCATAATATTTTAAGATATTTTAAGATATATATTATCTGAAAGTAGGCTTTTCTTTAGCACTTTTATAATTTATATTCTAAAAACTCTTAAAATTTTCATAATTTGTACTTTTAAATGAAAGTTCTAAATGTTATATTTTAATATTGTATTATTCTCTGTAGTATGATTAGCAATCATTGAGAATAAATGATTTAAATTCATTTTGTGGACCTCATTACATAAAAAAAAAAGAAAACAAAACAAGCAAAAAACCAAGAATCATCATGATTAGAAGTCTCAAGAAAGTAACATTTAGCAAGAAAGGTTGCAAGTTGCCTTCCCTAAATTTTTTTTTGAAGAAAGGTGAAGTGAGGGGATTTTAAGTCTTTTTCTTCTTTCTCTACTCTTATCAGTTCTCCTCTAGGAGACAGGATTGGGTTTTCACAGTCTTGTGTCTCAACGACAAAAATCTACACAAGACCAAATGATTAAATACTGATATGCTGATAACTGGAATATTATGTTCTTCTCTTTTAATTCATAATGTTAATTGATGAGATATTTTGATCATTTCTCTAACCAGGCTAACATTTCCATTCCATGCAGGTGTTGGGAAAGGCAATGGGTATGACCTAAAAATCCAAATATTCATGCAACGGAAGGCCGTCTTTTCCTGTTCTTATTCTGAGAACTGTAAGGTGAGAGACAATGTGGATTGAACAGTGGAGTTTGTTTTAAAGCTCAGTATTGAATCAGTATTTGATCTCCCAAACCATCACTCATTATGACAAGATGCCGTGTCACTTTCTGGTTACCATCCAACTTGGTGTCACTGGGGTTTGCATGCAAATCAGAGATAAATTAACCTTGTTGTTCACAATAATTCTGTCAGGGCACTTTTTGAAATATATTTCGGGTCAGAGTGTTGCCTTGCCTTTCACTTTCTCACAAATGCTGAGCGTGCGCCCAGGAAGATGACCAGGCTTCCACCTAGTCATTTGTAGGCATATCCTCTTCTTCTGAGTCATTTTATCTTTTATCATATAACACCAATTCTAAAATTTTAGTGTGCATGAAAACCACCTAAAAGCTTGTAAAGAAAGACATCCCAAGGTTGTACCACCAATGTGTGACTTAGGAAACTAGAATGGGCCCAGGAACCTATGGACTTAGAAATGTCCAATCAGAGATTCTCTGGGACAGCACTATGAGAAATGCAAGAGCAGGGAATCTCTTTATCCAAAGCAATGTTTTGCCAAAATGAAGAAATGCCTAAATCTATAGACCTTTCCAAAACAAAAACCAAGCTTCCTTCCTGGGTCTAAGAACCATAAACTTTTATAATTCCCTCCTAGGCTTTGCCTCAAATTCTCTTCTAGCCAACCCTACCCTCTCCCTCTACCTTTCTTAGCCTCTGCTAATTGAAAGCACTCACCTAGGCCTGATCCTTGGCTTTCCTTTTTTACTGCAGCAAATACTTTATTGTTGGTCATGCTCACCAATTTCACTCCTTGAAATTATTTGTTTTCTCACTTACTGAGGAGGTATTTATGAACCTGCACTGAGTTAGAGATGCAGGAGCTACATGGACAGTGTCCATTCCAAAAATTCAGACAAATTGCTCAATCCAAATTTATCAAATGAGCTTTTCCTCTGCTTCTGCAAATGGCACCAACATTCTCCCACTCAGGCCTTAAAATTTCACAGTACCATTGGTTATCTCTTTGCTTGGCCCCCTGATATGTAGTTAGTCACCAATTCCTGTTAACTGTATCTTTGAAATTTTTCTTCACTCTCCCTACCTTTCTGTTCCACTGCCACTACATAGACTGAAACCTCATTTGCTCAGGCCTAGTTTTCTAAAATAGTCTCCTCATCTTTTCTTTCCCCTTGTACAATGCAGTACTCAGAGCTCTGAGATATGCATCCTGAAATGTTGCTTTCATTGTGAAAAGCTGTAGGTAGAGAAGAAGACTCACTGTGCACTGTGGTCACCTTTGGCTTAATATCTGACCTATAAGATAAGTAGCACATCTCAAGTATTACAAGAATTAAATTATATAATATGTATATTATCTATGTATGTGAAGTTGCATTTAGAACTATCAGTCACTAAATAAATGTTATATGTCATTATCACCTAGCCACTGTGTCACATAGGACATACCCCATTATATTCTTCATCAACTTCACTCTTATTTCCCTAGCTTTCAAGCTCCCAAGGTAAAATAGCCCTATGATGCCTTAGCTTATTTCCATCAGTAACTTTACCTACAGACTCCATTCTAAGTGGACTAGGTCATCCTCTCTGGTTCTTGGAACATAACTCTCTATCTCATGGGTTTCTTTTTCTGATCTTTTCCTTCTGTCTTGACTAGATTTTAGTTTATGCTTCTCTTTCATGCCCAGCTCAATTTCTAGCTCCTTGATGAAGCTTTCTTATTCTATATCTCCTTTTAACCTCCCCCCACCCACTGCATAATAGCATACCCAGTCTTGATCATATAGCTTGCCAGTTAGACACCATTGTACTATTGTTCCTTATGTGTACAGCTCCTTGCAGGACCAACTAAGTCTGCACCTCCTTTTGTATTTTTCACAGGGCCTAGTGTGGACCTTCCTTACTGTGGGTGCCATTATTATGCAAGGGTGAATTAGCAATAGGAAATATTTAATATAGCTTTGAAGTCATTCAATTCTAAACTTGACCTGTCTTTTTTCACTCTGTCCAGAAACCTGCAGTGGACATGGCCTATGATCCCATCAACAAATGCAATATGCTTGATAAAACATGATGAGTTCTGTATGGCCTTTTGAATGTCAATACCAGATTTAAAATTGATCTTCTTAGTGTATTCCCCAAAGAGTCCTCAACATATAAAAATCAGATGACATTTACAATAATAGCATTATGCAATAATATTTAATTGGCTAAATTCTAGTTGAAAATTAAATACTTAACTTTTCAAAAGAGCCTCACTATAACTCTTAAACATGTCAGCCTTTACAAATTATAAATAATAGAATTTCAACTTTATGGAAAAGATTATGAATATTTATTTATACATGTAGTGATTGGACTATGAGACAAAAAGTACTTGATACACATTGGCAGCCTTAATAACTGAAAAATGAACTCACTGTCATCATCGGGAGGTTTATGCTTCTGACTCCGGTGTTTCTTTCACAGGTGCTTTATGACATGGAATCAGACAGAGTAGTCATACACGTCTTCAACTGTCCACCTCTGTATGATGACATCAAAGTGCAATTTTTTTCTTCCTCCGTGAGTAATCAGGAAACAGCCATTGGCTTTTTCCTTGTCTGGTGTTTTGAATGATTTTGGTTTGGGATTTCACTTGTGGAAGTTCCAACATGGAAAATAATGGATGACAACCCCTTGCCAGAGAAGGGTAGGAAAACAACAAATCAGATCTGGAACAAATTTTTTAAAAAGAAGAATATATGAAAAGAAAAAAAAAAGAAGAATATATGTAATTTGAAAAACTTTTGCTCACTGGTTTTTTTCCTAAATTCTATACATGTATTAGTTCCCACATGAGAAAAAAATACCAAAGTCATCTTTAAAATGCATTGCTCCTCATAATTAATAAAGTACTTTAAATTAAGGGAGATTCAACTTTTCTCTTAGTTGTTATTATGATGTTATAAGTAGCATTAATTAACATTCCTATACTTAATTCATGAAAATTGAGAATGTCATCAATTATCATTACTCTGAATATGATAATGGTATAATTTATATTGATCAGTCATAAAACCTATACCTGAATATTATTCTGTATATAACTTTCTAAGCCTTAATAATTTTAATTCATTTGCTATGTGCATTAAATTTTCACTCAGAACTGCCAACAAGTAACTATGTTGATCAATTTTCTTTCTTTCTTTCTTTTTTTTTTTTGAGACAGAGTCTCACTGTGTCACCCTCGGTAGAGTGCTATGGTGTCACAGCTCCCAGCAACCTCAAACTCCTGGGCTTGAGTGATCTTCTTGCCTCAGCCTCACAAGTAGCTGAGACTGCAGGCATCCACCACAATGCCCAGCTATTTTTAGAGACAGGGTCTTGCTCTAGTTCAGGCTGGTCTGGAACGCCTAAGCTCAGGCAATCTACCCGCCTCAATCTCACAGGTGCTTTATGACATGGAATCAGACAGAGTAGTCATACATGTCTTCAAATGTCACTTCTGTATGATGACATCTTCAACTGTCCACCACTGCACCCAACTATGTTGATCAATTTAAAACAAATTACCTGTGCCTCTGTCATCTTCTACTTGGTAGCTATTACAGGAGAATCTACCATGTATGAAGTAATCAGTGTAGTGAAGCAAGTGACCTGGATAGATGGAAGAATGGAGTCACTGAATTCTTGCTCAGTAGCCTCTTAGCAAAAGCAGTGGCATAAAGGTCACTGGCCCAAAGGACCTAGGTAATATTCAGCCTTTGTGATTATCAAGGGCCATGGAACTGCTCCTCTGTGAGGTTTTGGTGTTCACAGTGTGCTTTTCACAGGATACTTTTCATCCTGATGGGAGGCTCACTGCCTAAGTGTCTCAACCATGTCACAGAAATTTGTTTATGGAAGACACCCTGTGGCCCTCATCTGGCTTGTGTTCAGTTTACTTCTACCAAGACAGCCCCTGCCTGGGAGAAAAGCTGGATGTAGGTGTGTGGGTCAGGTGAAACAGAGAAGGCAGCACAAGCAAACACCCAAAAGCAGTTTTTATTACTGGCAAACCCCAGAGAGAAGAGGGCAGCACACCTCCCAGGGTCAACAATCAGGGCGGAGCCATCTGGGACACCTGACCTTCGGCTAGTGCATAGGGAGCAATGGAGAAAAAGGGACCTGAGAGTTGAAAATTTCATTGAAGTCCAAGGTGTTACTTGAGCAGGTTTCCTGTGTGGGGAGGTCTAATTGGTGGTTTAATGTGAGCAGGCACAAAGGGGAGTCATGCCGTGACTGAGAGGGACACACTGTGACATATCCACATAACTCATGTGGAGTCTTGGGGATCTGTAGAGTGAGGAAGTAGGTTGTGCTAGTTCTCTCATAGGGAGGTGATCACCAGGACGTGGCTGTGTGAGGCAGATATCACAATCAATCCTACTGAGGAATTGGGAGGAGGTGGAGAACTGGAAATTGTGTCAAGGGAGACTGACCCTGGCTTCTATTATAAGAAGCTTGAACATATTTAGAATAGATGCTGAGGAAACATGCAATCAGAAGAATTCACTACAACATGTTGGCATATACATAGAGACATGGGTCTTTTGTAGATTGTATTAAGCACTATCTAAACCAGATTAAAAGGTCGGTGTTCAAATGTATAAATACCTATCATGGAAAGCTACATTTCCTTGAAATTTTTGATTAAAAACAATAAGGGAAATTAACAGCATTGTCTTAAAGCCTTTGTGACTTGAGTATACTGTTATAAACTGTAGAGTGCTGCATTTTTATGGCTATACTTGTTTTATAAATATATAAAGGAATGAAGAATGTAATGTTAATCCTTTCAGAATAGTTAACTTTCAGTGTCAATTTTGTTATGAAAATAACCTTTTTTAACCATATCCTTTTAGGATCTTCCTAAATACTATGATGACTGCCCATTTTTCTTTTGGTTTCATACATCTTTTATAAAGAAGAACAGGTATGGATATAATATAATTCAATAGAACAATCCCTAATCTTTGATATCTGTGTACAAGGTATAATGGCAAGTCTTTTGCCAGTTGTCAGAGCTCAATTCTTAGAAACTGTGAACTCCTTGAGTTACCACTCTTTGTTGCCTTACTCCTCTTACTCTGGTTATTTTAAAAATACAATTGTTCTTGAACCAAGATAGTTGCATTATCCTCAGGTTCCATGGCATAGGACCATGTAATAAGTTAAAAAGTCTTAGAAGATCAAGCACCATGTCTCATGCCTGTAATTCTAGCACTCTGGGAGGCCGAAGCAGGAGGATCACTTGAGCTCAGGAGTTCCAGACCAGCCTGAGCAAGAACAAGAACCCTCTTTACTAAAAATTAGCCAGGAGGGGTGGCACTTGCCTGTAGTCCCAACTACTTAGAAGGCTGAGGCTTGAGCCCAAGTGTTTGAAGTTGCTATGAGCTATGATGGCACTCTAGCCTGAGCAAGAAGTGAGAAACTGCCTTAATATTAAAAAGGTATCATAATTAGGTCTGAAGTTTGATAAATTCCTTCTGTTAAGTTTAAAATTAAGTTTTCTCAGTACCTTGAATATGGCAGGTCCTCAGTAGGTGTTGATTTACTGATGACTGACCACCACCAAATTCTATGCTAAAGTAAGGCAGGATCTAGGGAGACTTCCACTAGTTTAAAAGCTGATCTGGGGCAGAAGTTACAAGTCACTCTAGGCATTAAGGAAGACAGCTGGAAAATCATTAAATGATAGTTTCCCACTTAAACATGATTTTCCAATAACTAAGTTGGGAAACCTTTTTTAAAAAGTACCCACTGAGTGCAGTGGCTTATGCCTATAATCAAAGCACTTTGGGAGACTGTAGCAAGAGGATTGCTTGAGGCTAGGAGTTCGAGAGCAGCCTGGCAATATAGTAAGACCCTGTGTCCACAAAATGTAATAAAATTGTTCAGGCATGGTGGTGTGTGCCTGTAGGCCCTGCTACTTGGGAGACTGAGGTGGGAGGATTGCCTGAACCCAGGTGTTTGAGGTTGCAGTGAGCTGGGATTGAGCCAGCTGCCTGGGTGAAAGAGAAAGACCCTGCCTCTAAAACAAACAAATAAAAAGTAATTATTAACTGTATTTGAAGATTTTTATTCCAAAAGGCCTTCTACCATATCTGGAAACTCCTTCCTGAGTCTACAAGTTCTCTTACTTTAAGAAGCATTTGTACTGTGATGGTAAAAAATTGAGCTTTTTGGCATCACCATATAATCTGATGCAAAAGGAAAAAATAAAGGAAGGTTAAAAATCATTCAGAGTTGAAGTAGTTTTGATTGTATGTAGCACGAATTGATGGTTATTGTTACATCAAACCTAGCTTTTTCTTCAAGTCTGGATTTGATTTCATAACCTCTCAAGTCCACTAAGGCAAGAGTAAAGTGGACATCTAGTCTACGTACTTGTAATGCACACACACTTAGTGGACTTTTATAGAGTGAGCCTTGGATGTAATGGCATATTTTTACTAATTTTTTTCTGGATGTATACAAACAATTTTGATACAAGAGCAAAATTCATCGAGAACATAGTGAAAGTACATTTGTTGGTACATCTCAAGTAGTTCTTGCTAGCATATATATTTTTTCCCTTTAAAACACCATGTTCATTATTATGGGTGTGTTGGCTCACCCCTGTAATCCCAGCACTTTGAGAGGCTGAGGCAGAAGGATCACTTGATCCCAGGAATCTGAGGCTGCCATGAGCTATGATGAAGTCACTGCACTCCAGCCACTGCACTCCAGCCTGGGCAAGAGTGAGACTGTGTCTCAAAACACACAAACAAAACACCATGCTCATATTGGAGAAGCAACAAGTTAGATCATTTTTATATAAGTTTCTAAAGATTTCTATAACATTGAAATTTATATAGTACTTGGTAAAGCTGTATTTTATTAGGTATGAGACTATTGTTTAGCCCAAACTGCTAACTTCTATCAATTATAAGTGACACAGTATTTTATTCCTGGGTTTTAACACCCATCTAGTTTTTGAATAATTTCTGTCACATACACAAATTTGGATATTTTGTTAAACTAGAATGTCCTTAATTCCATAAAGGTAATGTTAAAAGAATCAGCAATATATATTACTGAACATTAGATATTTTGCATCTCACCAGAAAGGTGAAAGGCACCAAATGAGACATCAAAAAGGGCTGAGGCTCTGATCATGGTAAGCAAGTCCTTTGTTTAAAGCTGTAATAAGGGTGTCCCAGTGCATGGCTTTTCAGTTAGCCCTAAAATAAAATGTGTAACTTTTTTTTTTCTATCCTTAGGCTTTATCTACCAAGAAATGAATTGGATAATCCCCACAAGCCAAAAACATGGAAAATTTATAGACCAGACTTTGCAGTTGAGGTATATTTTGATGAGATATGACCTAAAGTTATGTTCTATGGGCTATCTGCTTAAGTGTAGACTCCCATCTTGGACAGAATTTCATGGAATAATTTTATAAATTTTTTCCAATTCCAGATATATATTTATATCTTCTAAATCTCTGTCCTTGCTTTAATACCTGTATTTATATATATGGCAATATGTTCTTGAGAAATATATTAAATATATATATATATATATACTAAATTTCAATGGATTTTTTTCTTTTTTGAAAGAACATACTTTACACAAAGCTTCCATCTTGTATTTAGATAAATTTGGAACACAATACTCAGGAACATTGAGTATCACTCTGAAAAATTTTGAAATAAAACTTTCATATTAACATAATAGAGATATTTAAAAATTGTGTCCCCCAATACCCATTTACTTACATATTTTTGGACAAGTATTTATTCTTTGCTTTGTTTTACATTTGTCATTTCAGTTTCTCTTTTCTTTCTTTACTTGATTCATAAACTGTTAACAGATTGGCAGCAAAGACTGGGTCTTCAACCAAGCAGAGAGTGGTGTTTCACACTTCAGCCCACCCTCCCCCCCCCCAACACACACTGTTCTCTGTTCCAAGTGCTACATGGGTAACTGATGTGACAAGCTTCCTGTAATCACACTCAAGCATGGGAAGGAGGTTAGGAGGATCTTGATAAATATGAAGGACAAAGAATCTTCAGCAACTTCTTCTTTTGGGTAACATCATGAGTTTAATCAAAGAAACATTGGTTCTTAGAGTGAACTAGATTTATTATTTTGAAATCTATCACCCCTGCTTACAACTACCTTCACCTAGGCTTGGGGCAACGCTGTGAAAGTCACCTTTTCACTGTAAATATCAATTAGTCCTCTGTCCACAGGAAATCATGACTACTTTCTTTTGGGTACTGTGTACTGCTTTATTCTAAGAAGGTTCACTGCCACTCTATCTTCAGACAAAGATTGTTATTGAAAAGAGTTCTATTTTGGCTTCTACAAAGTCTCCTTATTTCAACCAGGTATGGTGGCTCACGCCTGTAATCCTAGCACTCTGGGAGGTCAAGGTGGGTGGATTCCCCTGAGTTCAAGACCAGCCTGAACAAGAGCAAGACCCCATGTCTTAAAAAATAGCTGAGCAGGTGCTTATAGTCCCAGCTACTTGGGAGGCTGAGGCGAGAGAATTACTTGAGCCCAAGAGTAGGAGGTTGCTATGAGCTGTGACACCACAGCACTCTACTGAGGGTGACAAAGTGAGACTGTCTCAGAAAAAATAAATAAATAAATAAATAAATAAATAAAGCAGAACATATCCTTATTTCAATGATTTTCCTTTGATTAGTAGGGCTCTCAACAATCTAGTCCAAGCTGGACTTATTTCTTCTTTCTTCAAGAAATGAAAGACAACTAATAAAACAAGTGTCTCTGTTTAAACATGGTATATTCATTCCTGAAAAACGTTGTGCTGGACAGAGAAAGACATGGTAGGGGCAGACCAGGCCAGTTAGACAACTTTGTATCCAGCACACTAACCACTTGGACCATTCAGCAGCTTGGGTGTCCTGCAGATTTCCTCAGAAGCTTTTTTAAATGAGGAAGTAACAAATATTTCAGGGAAAAGCTGAGATTGCCAACATGGCACATACAGGAGTAGAGCTCCAAGGCCCAGTGACACAGGGGTCACTCTACTAGAAGCCAGGAGCTCTGTAAGACTAGTGGACAGCCAGACTTCAGGTGGTTTTTATTTTTTTCTAAATATCCCAAAAACGTTTTATGAAGCTTCTTATAAAGAGATAGCACTTTTATGCTATTTATACATTTTTCCACTAACAACCAAAACGGCTGGGATACCACGACTCCCAGTTATTAGAAGCCAATTATCTGTTTCTGCCTCTGCTTTGATTAGAATGAGAGAGTAACAAAAGCCCTGAACTGAAGATGATATGATTTTTATATTGACAGTGGCCAGTTAGTAAAACAGGTGAGCCACTGTCACCTATTGCTTACTGTAGATAGAGTAGTCACAAGAATATTACAAATTCTGCACCAGCCTGACCTCAGTCGGGTTTTTTTTAAAGATAATAGTTTTGTGGAAATAGGTTGATTCTTTTTATGACTCAAGTTCCAACCACCTCATAATCAGCTACTTACTGCTTTAAAGTCAATGCTTCCCTTAGGATAGAAAAAAAACTGCTGTGGTGAGCCATGTGACACCTATCATGCGGTGCTCTGGTCTAGATGGGAATGAAGATTATAAATCTATTGATATTTTCATTTGCATCTTTTTTTACCCACTCATGTCTAAGTTTTGCCTGAACTGAACCTACAAATGAATCACACAAGGGATCATGAATGTTGGCAGAAGTTTGGGTAGAAATCCATAAGAGTGAGTGGTGTGTGCTGAGCATACAGGCTCTGAAGCTGCCTTCAGAGCTGGATTGTCTAATACAGGAAAAGGCACAGATGATTGCTTCCCTGACTATATTTAGGGGTAAAAATGTTAATGGATGAAGAGGGTCTGGCTCCCTGTCACTGTCAGCCTATATGCAGAGATGGGGATAGGTCCACCCAATTTTGTCAGAAGGCTAGTGATTCTGGAAAACAGTGAAAGTAGCTTCTTCAAGACTGTTCTGTTCTTCTATTTCTAAAACCACAGCTTTATACATAAAGGTTCAAAGCAAAAACCACTGGAGGGGAGGCTATTACATCAAGTGATGGTTCCTTTTTACAACTATCTAATCATTGGAGGGGAGGCAATTATGTCAAGTGGTGGTTCCTTATTACAGCTATCCAACCATTGGGGAGATGCTATTACGTCAAGTGGTGGTTCCTTATTACACTGGGTGGGGGGGAGTTACTTCAAGTGGTGGTTCCTTATTACAGCTATCTATTGGGGGAGGGGGGAATAATCTCCACCATGTGCAAATCCCAGTGCCATGGGCATGAACATTCATTATATCTACAAGATGGAAGCAGAGAGTTGACCTTCTGAGAGTTAGGCAGTCCCAATGTTCCAGTCAACATAAAATGGGAAACAACCACTTGCAGAAGTGATCCTATGTAAGAGGTGAGTTATTTGTATTTTTCTCCCAGCCTAAAAGTAATAAATGATAAAAGAGGGTTAATACCTGAGGTCAGTTCTGGCTTGGGATCTATCATGTGGAGGTTGTCATATGATCGTCTACCTGGGGGAGGGAGAGCCCACTGCTTGTGGGGCTCACTCACACAGCTAGTATTTTGGTCTGCCATTGCTCCTCCCCTTGTGGGCCTCTACACAGGCCCTCAGAGCCCTGTGACCCTCTGGACAGTGCAATCCATGAGAAAGCCAGGAGAGGGCCAGTGTCTTTTCACTGCCTAGGAAGCACATGGCAGTACTTCCACCCCACTCTATTCATTAGAATTTAGTCTGTGAATCTGATTCAACTTAATGGAAGAGGGGAAGTATGCTCCACCTTCTGAAGAGATGATTTTGCACAAGACTTTAAACCATCATACAGTGAATTTGAGTAATTTACTTAAAATCTTTGTGCTCCTGTTTCCTCATCAGTAAAATAGAAATAATATTAGTATCTGCCTAATAGAGTTGTAAGAATAAAATGAATTAACATAGAGACCTTAAAATAGTGCAGAGTATATGGTATAATATATGCAGGGTATATGGTGCTTAAGAAGTATTAGCAATCATTATGCTGATTACTATGGTACTATATTTTGCTGTGTAAAATGCACTCTCATGTGTAATGTGCACTCATGTTTTAGGCCCAAACTTTTAGGAAAACCTTCCCCAAGAAAGTGGCTAGCTCTCTCGTCTGAGAGAGACACATCTAGGGAGGGCTATTTCTCCCCTGATAAACATGCAGATCACACCAACCTCCTGCAGCCATCTGCTCTGTTAAGACTGTCCCTTCCCTTTCTTCCAGAGCCCTTCCCTCCTCACCACATCTGGGGCCATAGCTGAGATGGCCCCAGGAGTTTCTGAGGCCGCTTGACCTGTGGGAAGCCAGGTAGGTCCCTGGGTTCCACACACAGCTCCTGGTCCCCTCCGCATGGCCTGCCTTGCCAGCACCCCCACTATTGCCTCCCTGATTGTGGTGCTCAGTGAAGTTGCTCCAGCCCACTCCCACCAGTTTCTGAATCCCCCCCCCCATACTGGACTTTCATGCACCCAGCAGCATGAGGCAGAAGAGCACAGCAGCCCCAAGAGGCCAGCTGGATTCCCCTGCTCCTGAGCCATACTACCCATGTATAATGTACATCCTTAATCTTCCCTCAAAAATTGGGGCAAAAAGTATGCATTATACACAGAAAAATATGGTAAATACATTCTGGATCACTTTGGCATGCAATGGCACTCATACAGAGGTGAGAACAGCTGCTGGCATCAGTCATGGGTGCACTATAAATTGATCATTTCTATACACAGCAGCATTATCCACACACCCTCCTGTTGGGCTCTGATGAACCTGGGTACTGTTTCATCTGGGCTGGTAATCCAGGACAGGCAGCATGTATTCTTCGTTACTAAGCCTCGTTTTCTTTTCTCACCAAAGGAAGTGGTCTGGGAAAGTGCCAGTCAGAGTATGTGACTTCTTTGTTCAGCATCAGGGAAATGAGAAAGACTCAGGGGTCCTGCTATAGTCAGAGGTATGAATCTCCACTTGACCCATTAGGGAACATCCAGGAAACCTTGAATAGATCCTCTTGGATTCTTAGTGTGGCTTCACTGAACAAGGCCTCTACAGGACTTTGTCCTGAACTCATTTTAGAAAGCAATATCTCTGACCCAGGGCCAGAAATCACTTCAGAATCACCAACTTCAATTTCACCTCTGAGAATGAACAAATATTATAAGAATGTTCAAGATTCTACCTACCAAATAGTCCATAAAGATATTATCATAAATTAATCAAATAACTATTTATTAGGTGCCTACTACAAGGAAGCCACAGCATTTCCCAAGTTGCAAGAAACTTTCCAACAGCCAGGGAATGAATCACTAATCTGCTGCAGTC